CTAAGGAGCAAACGTGTGTGTGTCTCCTGCTTTTTGTCCTTACACACCAGCATCACCTTGAAATCGTGCATCAGTTTTGCAACATAAGTTTTATAGTGGTCCTGCCCGCAGTGGTAAACAGTAACAATAAAATCCAAGCCCGTCCACTTATTGGTAAGATTAATGCTACTCTGTGATGTTTAACAGGTGATAATCAATGGCATAGTATAATGTGGTTTGTTGTGTGGTTCCATTCTGTTCGGTTTGGATATGGGTTGCTATAATTTAACAGGTTATGCTGTCAATTATGTTGATGTATAGTGTTTTACAGTCTTTTCCTATCTGCCCATTTTCAGTTTTGCACCTGCCCCTCTAAAGGTCTCTGGCCTGAAACTCAGTGCCATATCTGTTTTCTCTCTCAGTAGTCTCTCCTTTGCAAAATTTTACAAAAGTGATGCAGCCTTCTCTGTTTGCTGGAGATTAAAGGGATAGTTCTGGTTATTTGACATGGGGTTGTGTGAGGTAGTTATACATAGTCAGTGTATTATCTGCAGTAGATTAAGATCAGCGCCCTCCCAGTTTGTGAAAGCAGCCAGGATTACCGGCACAGAAGCTCAGCGATGCACTGCTGTGGATGGGGCCAGCCACAAACACCTGTTTTAGTCACTTTTTAAAAAAATGCTCACTGAAAAAAAGCAAATATCAGTTTAAGATTAATGTTTGATATTGGCTTTTTCAGTGGGCTGCTTTTTTTTCAACTGGCTATGGCACATTTTTGAGGCTGGCCTTATACAGCAGTGCATCGCTCAGCTTCTGTGCCGGTAATCCTGGCTGCTTTAACATACTGGGAGGGCGCCGATCTGAATCTACTGCAGGTAATACACTGACTATAGATAAATACCTCACATAACCCCACATCAAATAACCTTAACGGTCACTTTAACAATTCTGTACACTGCACCTCACCTTACAGATGTCCATTTTTCACAGTCTCTCTCTTCCAATAGTTTTCCGCAAATTCTGTGTTCAGGCCAAGCTACCTTATCACTTTCCTTTCATTCCTCTTTTCTTTCAGTACACACACAAAACTCTGTCATCCTTTATTTGTTGTCATCAGCACCATTGGGCTGTCAGCTCTCTGTCAGTTCCACAGTGGGACTCATCCCCGGTTGCACTAGTTGTATTAACACTCCTGGCACACATGGATGTTGAAGCACTTAAGGGACCTGCAGGGTAGTTGTGACACAATAAAATGGAGGCAATTTTCTTGCTATTTTTCATCCTTTCTTACACTTTCTCCCTCTTTGCTCACATCTCTTTTGTCTTCCTCTCTGGTGACAGAGGTGGCGAGAGGATAAGGTGCCAGGCTGTGGAATGACATATTTAGGGAAGTATCGCTGCAATGTGATATAACAACTGATTTATCACTCTAATGGACGGTGTCAAAAAACAGTGTCTCCTCAGTGGTCAATAAAGTGATAAATTACTTACAATATCTGCATTTTTATCCATGCTAGCAGTGTGGCTTTAGGGATGGAAATGATTGTCAGTTGGTCCACCACCTTGGTTCAGACTAGGGATATTCCTAATGACTAATTTCCCATGTCGATTAAACTGAAATTTAAATTTAGACCAATGTAAAAGCGAGAAAACTCTGATGAGCCACGTAACCTTTTCGAGCGGGATCACAGAGTCTGCTGGTGGAAAATATCCTATTGGTTTGGCAAGTGTGGCTAATGTTAGCAGTGCTAGCACCAGCAGCCTTACTTTGTAGGTTGACATCCACATGCCTTTGCTGAATGTGGTTACATGTTGCTCTGGTTATGTGTTGTTGTGGATTTTAAAGGTGCTATTCAGCCTTCCTTATCAAACAAATCTCTGATTAAATCTATGCATAATTGACTAACTTTCTCCTCCCAGCACTGCCACAGTAATACTGTCCCTTTTGTGTTATCTGAGAAACGCTGTGCATGTAACCTTTTGCCTTGCAAGCTGTGCACGTCTGAGGTAGTACTGTGGCAAAGAAATGCTTGATCAACTCAATTTCCTCCTAAAGTCTCATTCCTCTTTCCTGCCACCCATTTCGTATCTCCTCTCCCCTCTATTTCTCTCTCTCTCTCACTCTCTCTCTCTCTCTTTCTTTCTCAGCAAGAATATAGAGGTGTAGATTTATGGAGCAGCCCGGTCGCTGGTGGCCACAATCCAGCCAGAAAAAAGTGATTTGTTCAGTGATTACAGACAGAATAGGGGGAGAGAAATGTTAATGATGTTATGGACAGATTGCCAGTGTGTGACTGAAGAAAGAGAAAGAAAGAGAGAATGTGGATGTCATTTAGGATTTGGTCACTACTTACTTTAACAATGAATGTCAAGCACATGCATCTGTCAGCATTCATCTTTAATGATGTGGTCTCTAGGATGTATTTCATCCTTAAGCAGTCCATTTTAACAACCACAAGTTTCAGTGGTTAAATATCTAGCTTGATTTGCAGGTTTTCGTATGATGGCTCATTGATAACAGTGACCCACAGTGGGTTTTGATTGCATATCAGAAATCACTCAACAAAGCTTTTGATCCTATATGGAGAAGCTATAATTGCACCATTGCCGGTGCTGGATGGTCAAGCTGTTCACACTAACATCTCACTGGATATTTGTTTTATCACTTTAAGAATTAACCAAGGGCACGTTCAGAGAAGGCACCTTCAGTCTCCTCCACCCAGACCTCCAGCCATATGTGGCCTGGTTTGAGCACACGGCCGTTGGCACTGTGAGGTGGTGCCCCTCCTGCTCTGCTTAATTACCAGTGAGATGGAGTGGGCCCCTCCACCCGCCAACCACCCCTCGAGCAGAGCCACTGTGTCACACTGTGTCAGGGGCAGAGCGGACACGCAGCGCTCACCTTCCTCACCTTTCTCTGTCTCTCTTGTCAGAAGATAAGATTAATAATAAAATAGCACAGCCGGAGAGCCTTTTCCTTTTGGTCAAGTGAACCTTTCTTTGTGCATTTCTGCTTTTTTCCCTCTTACGGTTTCTTTTTTCAAGTTTCTGCATTCCAGTTTTTTGTATTGAAATCTAGTTCATTAATTATTTTGGTAATGATACCACTTGGTAAGCAAAATACTGACTATCAGCTTGATTCTTTTTTAATACAGAGACATTATTGACTGTCCCAGGTTTCATTAGCAAGCCTCCTGGCTGTCTATTGGATTGCACAAAGTACAGAACACACAGACCTGGGTAGAGAATAAAGTGGAAGGCACTGGGAGTCCAAACTGTACCTGCTGAGACAATGGCAGAACACATTAACTGTTGCTGGAGCAACCGTCTCCAAATCAGAAGAAAACTCGAACACTTTGAGCAGACTAATTTCTCAAAGTGTCCTCATCCACTGCATCTCTTTCCATGTGTCTCCTTCTTCCTCCTCATCCTCCTCCTCGTCTAACTGAACGTAAAGCAAAATATTCTTAAACACCGTATCAATACTGTGGACATTTAGTATTTAAGGGAGGTGCACATTCAGAGATTGTGGATGCTTTCGACTACATTAAAATTCAGTCTATTACTCATAAAGTAAATGCTATGACTATGTGTCATACTTGGAGCTGAAGTCAAGAGTTGCATTGTAAATGTATACATTTTAGGAGACTTGTTTCATGTCCGCAGACTGATGACAAGTTAAGTGGAAATAATTGTCCGGGCAACGACAACACATACTTCTGCTTCCTAAGTTTTCTGTAGATGAGGGTGTAGAACTGTGTTACTCCATGACATGAAGGACACAATAAACAATGTATATTAAGGCAGTTATGCACATAGCTCTTGAGCATTTACATAGTTCTCAAGTCTTTTAATCAGCTATGCTAATATATTCATGAATGATGAGACAAACTGCTGTCTGAACAGAGGCTCCTGGTGTGTGTGAGGTGGTGTGTGGGGTGTGCTCAGGTGAACAGAGCTGCGCCTGTGGAGACACTTATCACCCACAGCAGAAACTGGCTCATGCATGCCCAGAATTCTCAATGACATTAGACCGACACGCACTTTCAACAAGAGAAAAGTGCTGCTTTTTGGATGTGAACGCAACCATGAAAACAGGAACCTGTGTGGAGTTGGTGTGTTTTTGTTTTATGATGTAGGCTACATGTCAGACTTAGCCTACTGTATTTTCCCCAAGTGGAGAAAACACATTAGGTATTTTTCCCTCATGATTTTTTTTTTAACTTCTTGTTTCTTTTATATTATCATCATCACAAAAATGTCAGCAAAGCAACAAAGTAATACAATTAAATGATTCATACCATTGGTTTCACATGGCAAGCCCAACCCAGCTGTGACGCAGCAAGGCACAGAAAGAGAAGTGAAAAAACCCCACCTCAAAGCAGTCAGAGGTGTAGTAACAATACAGAAACAGGAGTTTTGACATTATACTTTCAAATTTATCCCATGCTATGTAAATTTCACTGAAATCTGTTGTATGACGCACAAACAGCACTGACAGGTCTCAGCTGAAAGATCCCCATCTCTCTCACACACACCTTTCTCACACTTCTTTACATTTCTTCAAGCTGCAAGCTTAATGCAGTGGTTCTCAAAGTGGGTTCTTGGGACCCCCAATGGTCCTTGAGGATGTTCTCGGGAGTCCCCAGCAAGAATAAATAAATAATTCATTTTATAATAATAATATTAATTCTGTCCATAAGTAACACAATAACAGAATGTATGACTATCTTGGTCTTGGGTTTTAAACATGGGTTGGTGTAATTAAACAATCCTAAGCACAAATCTTATCAGATGGGGACCCTGTGACAAAGTCTTTTCAAATGGGGGTTCATAGTCTAATTTTTGTCAGTTTAGGGGTCCTTGAAGTGAAAAAGTTTGAGAACCACTGTCTTAATGGCCTCAGGTTTCTTAAAGATGAGCTCAATTCACGTCACTTATGATGTGTGTTTTGCATATTTTCAACCCTGTCTGAAGCACCACATCCTGATAGGCCCATCTAGAACAGCGGTGCGACATCCTGCTCAGAAAGAGCAGTTTATTGCTGCTGTAGTTACTCATCACTGTCCTCCCCACAAAGCGCATCTCCGATACTCAACTTGACCTGACCTGGTTTAATCCTCAAAGTCATTTTTGTTTCGGTCAACAAGGTCTCGACCGATCACTTCATCTCTCCTCGTCCTCGACTCGAGCGCTCATCCTCTTGCGCGACAGCAGGCGCAGACAGCGCACTGTCCGACCCGGGCATTAGAATAAGTGACTGTTGCGGTGAGGAGGAATTGTGGGAGGACTCAGTGGATGACAAGCTGTGCGCTGGGAGGTAGAGAGGCGAATAAAATCACACAGAAGCTCAAGCTCGACTCCAGCGACGGAATCCCGGCTTGTTTACTCTGTACCGGGCACAGAGGAACACCGCTGCGCAGGCATAACTAAAAGAGCGGAGTGTGGACCGGGGGGGCGGCTGTCTGTCTGTCACCACCATGTCAGCGGCAACGGCTTCAATAGCAGATGTGTCCAGGACTGATTTTACAAACAAAGATGATGGCGGTGACCGGAATAACTTAGGTAAGACAGATAAAATAACACAACATATGGTGTCTAATTTATTCTGGAGTCCAGCGCGTAGGATGTGTGTGGAGGAGATTTGTTTGGCACTTTGCACTTATTCACCAGTTCTATTCTTAACACAACTAAAAGATTGTATTTTAGGGTTTTACATATTAACATATTTTTGTGAGAATGCATCTAAGTTGTGTGCCCTATTCAAACACTGGCCTCTAAAAAAGATCATTGCAACATTTATCTGGTGTGTGTGTGTTGCGTTAGTGGTAGACCTTAATTTCCTCCTGTGCAATAAGCTATTACTTTAGGGACCCACAGTATTTGCTGTGATAGCAGTTTCCTTATAACTGCTATAGGATTAATAGTCAAGGTATATAATATGATGTCTCGTATTGATCTGTGTGTGTGTGTGGCCATTTGTCAGAAATATATGGAAATTATAAACATATCTTGCATCATACAAAGCCAAGCACGTTAGGTGTCAGATTAAGGGATAGTTGAGTGAAAATCTAGTGAGCATCACAAATACCTTTCCTCCAGATCTCATCATTTGATTTAAAAAAAGAGAGAAAACAAAGAGGAAATGAAAAGGGGAGGCTCCTCACACCAATGCACAGCTGGGCAGCTCACATGCACGCTCACCCAGCCACACACATTACCACACACACATACACACACGTTACATAAAAGTGATGCTCTTTGCTTATCGGCAACGAAGTGCGTCCTTGTGTTACATAAACCTGAAAATGGTGAGCTAATGCTAATGGCTTCAGGGGAGTATTTATCCCAGTTGTGTCTGGCCCAGTGTCATGGTAAAATTTAAACAAGCTTGTGTAAGGCTGTACAAGAAAATATGCATTTTCTTTCTTTCTTTCTTTCTTTCTTTCTTTCTTTCTTTCTTTCTTTCTTTCTTTCTTTCTTTCTTTCTCCCTCTCCATGTCTGTCTGTCTCTGCCTCTGTCTGTGTGTCTGTCTGTCAATGAATCCCCGAACTTTTGCCATGGTTTGTTGCCTCTTGTGGTGACACAAGTGCACAGCATGTCTCTCCTGGAAACCAACCTCACATATTTTGGGATATTTTTCTTCGTGTAATAGTCACAAAGAGGAAATCTCCTCTCTGTCACATTGTTTCTAGTGAAAACTGGGAACAGGTTTCCCTCAGTAAACAAGCTGCTTTGGACTTTTCCTGGACCTGATCCCATCACACATCATCCTTCCCAGTTGTGTTGGAAATCACCGAGTTGATGTCATTGTGTTTATTTGCATTCCAACAGCCTGCCTCATGATGAAGTGATACTTATGTTGTAGATTCATCGTGCCAGACTGCTGAGACCTCCTGTAATATGCTGAGCACTGTGCTGTGCTGTATGATAACCGGTTGTTTAGCATGGCTCCAGATGGCCTGTGTGTTTCCACCAGCCTTGCAGGCGTTTTGTTTAATGATTTATCTCTTTTCCTGCTTCGATACTGTTAGAATTCGATGCAGCACAGCACCAGAGTGTTACGGGGAGGGGGGCCAATGTTTTGTCACGCAGTGCTGTGCAGCCCTACAGGGGTTCAGCGCTGATAGCTGTAGAATGACTGTCCCATTCCACTCTCAATCTCATCTGCAGTGCTCCATTCTTCTTTGTTCTTCATATTGTTCACCTTGAATTGTTGTTGCGCTACTTTTGAATTCCGAGTTGTCTGATCATTTCTGTGAATACAAATTTCTTTTGAAGATAACATGAATTATACATGTGTTCCAACTTTGGGTGAACTTTTGCTGATTACTGCATATTTAACAGCTGCAACATAATTCAATCACGACCACTGTTTTCATAACAGTCTGATTTATCATCAGCTCACTGTCAGCTCTTTCTTTTAGGTCAGTTCCAGGCTCAGTGCACACCCATGCCGCTGCCTGCCCTGGGCACCCAGAAAATCATCCAGGGCAATGGCACCAATGTGGGCACAGTCATTTCCCTGCAGTGCCCAGCCAAACACAAACTGGTAGGAAGAGAGCTGATGTGTGTCATGGGCACCAACAGCACCCACTGGGTGGGGGAGACCTACTGTAAACGTAAGTAGAAGCAGAGAACAGAAACTGAGACCCTGAAATGACAGTTAATATTGAAATAACAGGAAAGATTCTTCTGCTTTTAGCGATATGCATATCACCTTATGAATCTATAACCAAAGTGTGTGTGTGTGTGTGTGTTTGTGCAGATTAAATGTTCCAAATGCTTTTACTTGTAGAACTGCAGTGGCTGCAAAACTTCCCCTGAACTGTCTGTCTTGTCATTACTCTGAAGAGATGGAGTATATATGAAACATTATGTGATAAGCATTGTGGCCATGGGCAATGTTACATGACGACCCTTAAGATAGTAGCCTCTTGGGCTTGTAATAATTAATGCTCCAGATTAGGTGAGAACACGTTTGAGAGAAAATAATTTGTTGCTCAGGGATAAAGCTCATTAAAGAAGAATATTAATGCTAATGCAGGGAGAGAAAAATAATTTCAAGCAGGTGTGCTTTTAGTCATTATTTTGGTGAGTGAGTGGAAAAGTAAGAGCAGGATCTTAATTATATTTCAGAATCAGTCATCATGGGAGAGAGGACGCTGTCTGATGTGAAACTGAAAGAAATTAAAAATGGAATTTATGTTTTCTTGTCCTTTCCGTGATGAGCTGGCAAGTGCACTTTGTTGGAAAATGACTTCTTATTTCCACCAGTCTCCTCTGGTCACATGGCAATGAAAGAGTTGTGTCAGACTTTATCTGTAAATCCTCAGTTAAGTGATAACATTTATTTTGTGGTTTTTGAGTCTGGAAAGGAATTGTTATACATGGATTTTGCTGCATGATGACAGGAGTTGTCTAATACGTTGTGTGCATGACATGGAAATAAAGTCAATAAATCAGTCTTCCTCTCTCTCACTCCAGCTATGGCTCCCTACGAGGACTATGGCTTCCGTGTGGCTGTTTTGGCATCCATTGTAAGCTCAGCCATAATCCTCCTCATGTCCGTGGCCTTCATCACCTGCTGTTTGCTCGACTGCATCAAAGAGGACAAAAGGAAAGAGCAGGAGACGTGAGTGAGATGCAAGAAGGGATGGAAGAAGTACTCAGATTGTTTACTTAAAAGTACCAATAATGTAAAAGTTCCCTATTACAGGCAAAGGTCCTTTGTTTAAAATCTAAACATCTCAAAAGTAAAGCTACATTGATATATGCTACATTACATTATATTATCAGACATCTTGTGTAAGTAGCAGTTGAGGTGGAGGTGGAGCTTCTGTTCACTGCCTTATAAAGTCAGGTCATTTAGTTCAGTGGTTCGCTACCTGGGGGTCAGGCCCTCTCCAAAGGGTCACAAGATAAATCTGACAGGTTGTGAAATGAATAAAGGGGTAGGAGAGGAAAAAAAACAGTTCTGCTACATAAATTTCTTTAATCTTTGCTGTTTTAAAAAAGAAATATTTGATAATTACATCCCTTTGCACAAGTATTTACTGTAGGCTATATGTATCCATCTGGGAGGTTTAGTGAGGAAATTTGTCTTTGATGAAACTAACAACTCCCAGACATCTGAGCAATGACAAAATGCACTTAGTTACTTTCCATCACTTGAAGGGGGGAGAAAAACAAAGATGAGAGTCACTTCGTTTCCTGTGAGGCGTTTAGAAACTGAAATACTGACATGAAGCTTTAAATTGATTTCAACAGGGACTCAGATGTGTGGCAATGGGAGGAGCAGGCCCAACATCAGGAGGACAACAGGTCTCGCTACAGCCATAAAGGCAGGAACAACAACAACAACACCCAGGAGAAGATGCTCTCCCTGTGGGACACCCACAACCCAGCTATGTGTGACAACATGCGAGCCTGCAGGTGAGACATGGAATGACTGTAGCTCAAATGCTGAAAAGGGGAGGAAAAAAAATTCCAGTGTCCCTGTAGACCAGCAGAAACATTAAAGATACACCCTCCTGTCTTTTCCTCCACAGATGTCATCAGGAATACGCTTATGGTCCCGTCTGCACATATAATGGCCCCACCGCTCTGCTTGCTGCTCTACCAGGGCATGACTATGACCAGCCTCTCTTACCGCAAAACCCAGATTCTGCACAGATCTCTGGTCCACCTCAATACCCCGGACCTCCTCTGTCCTCTTGTCAAACTACGAGCCCAGGCCTGGTCCAGATCTCAGCAGCGGGACCTGGTTTGGTGTGGCAGTATGGAAGACAGCACAGCAGTTTGTCAGGAGCGAACCCGTCAACCACAGATGAGTCCAACACAAGGAATATAAACCCGGCCAAAGAATTTTCCATAAGGATCATATCAGTGTGAGGACATATTAATGAGGTGAATACCATCAGTCAAGAACTTGTTTAATGACCAAATAAGTACAACAGGGTCGACTTTATCAATGAGGACTACAGGAAGTAATCACTGAACATTCCTGCTCTTGTTGATATTGTTATGTGTGCAGTTCTACACAGTATGAGGGCTCTGTAGGCATACTGATCTGACAGACGCATGTGCCTTTTGTAAACTGTAATGGCACACTGCCCTCTGTCTGAAAAGGGAAGCCATTGCACTTTCAGGACACCAGCCTTTTTGGATGAGACTCGCTGTAATTAGAATGTCATGGGATTTCCTTGACCTTAATTGAGCTTAAATGAAATTGTTGTGATGAGGTTGAGGTTAACGATTAAGATGTCTATGGGGATATAGTTCACAACAGGAGGAGGAGTGGAGCGACTGGAAAGCACTAGACTGGCATGTTTGTAAATATAATTTTTAAGGAATGTAATTCAATTAAAGACTTCTATTGACAATGAGTGAGACTGTATTGCAATGGAAAGAGGGCAATAGTGGACATTTCTTTCTAAGGGATAAATGCAGATTTACAAGTCAACTTGATAAGGCCACATCACAGTGAGTTTGACTGTTCTGTGTCATGATGTAAAAGTAGGTGAGAAACTAAAGGAAAATGTTAATAAATGAGTGGAGAAACATAATGAATGCATTATCGCTTCCATACTGTGCATGAGCAATTCACCAAATGGTCATGCGCTGCAGCCTTCACAGTCACCAGATGTGAAACCAACTGAACGCCTATGGTTGATTTTGGATCGATGTGTTTGGCAGCACTCTAAGCTACAATCATAAGGGAATACAATTTGGAAGAATGGTATTCATCCTTCCAGTATAGTTTCACAACCTTAAAGAGTGTCTGTCAAGGTGGGTCAGTGAAGCTGGAGCTGCCCTGGAAGCTTGTGGTGGCCCAGCACCTCACTAAGACACTTTATGTTGGTGTTTCCTTTAATCTATCAACCATCTATAATTTATAGTCTACACAGGAATTTCAAGAGAAATGGTGAGTGGATTCTAAGCAACAGAATAATATTATTATTATTATTATTATTATTATTATTATTATTATTATTATTATTATTATTAATGCCTGGCTTAATTGATAAAGTTCTGTCATTGCTAACAGAAGAAGGGAAGTAAATAAACTGATAAAAGACACCTATTTGGTTCGGTGTTCATTGCAACAGAAAGCTTAGCTGTAGCCGCTGTTGATAATCTGCCTGTCACTTCAGTCCACCGTCACTGTCTGCGGCCTGATTATCGTCATGTGGCCCGGAGGTCAGTCATGTGACACCGGGCGGCGAAGGGCGGCGCAGCGGTCGAGCGTGCTGATGTAACGGGACCAGCAGGGACCGTCACACCGTGAAGAACAGGAAGTTTTTTTTTTTTTTACCGGGGAGGCTGTCGGTCGGTTAAGCGAGTCCCGCACGCCGTTTGTTTGTCAGTATGACAGGTTTGTGAATCAAGGGTAAGATGTTTTGTCTTGTTGTGTATCATTTGCAGTAAACTCCGCGTGCTGTCTTCCAGGATACATAGGACCGGTGACCGCCCACAGAGCAGTGAGCGCGCGCCACCTGTTGCATAAAATTCACTGTTTTAAGTGTAATCTTAGCCATAGCGATGTAAATATATTATTTTCGTCTTCATGTGGAGAATTATTCGGGCGCTATTTCACAACACTCGAAGCAGCCTGAATTTCCTGTCAAAAAATCCAGCCTAAAAATAAACCAGGGACAGTTTGATAGACAGGTCCATTTACATTCTGTTATTTAATACTTTATGGACTGCCATTTCCAGGGCCCTCCAGGCCTTTATTAAAGATATATATGATTAAGCTCCTGCCTCTGTCAGTCACATTCAAATCCTGAGCTTGGTCTAATTTTTTCATAAAGAACTAGCATAAATCTGACATTGGGGTGAAGCAGTTTTATTTAACTTCGCTGGAACTATACATTGGCCTACATAATTTGTTTGAAGCAAGATATTCTACCTCCATCTTGGTAATTGTATTGTGTGAGGAAGAACCAACAAACACACCGGAAAAACTATACAGATCAGAGAACTGGATGATAAAATGTAACACAAGACAAACTGTTATTTCACCAATCTCTAAGCTGCACAGTTTTGACCAGTTACCTATTTGTTGCATCTCTACATTCTGTTGATGATCAGCTGCAAACACCTTTTCTCCTGTGTAATCTGGCACAAGAATTCTTTTCAGAAATCCTAATAACAAAGTATCAAACCTAAAACCGCACAGGTAAAGATTCACAACTCCTGTAGACCCCTTGAAAGACACTAGGATGTTTACCTCTACATAACCTTTTTGTCGTAATGCCCCCTACTATCCACTGTGCTCATGGAGCCTGCTGCTCTGATACCTCAGTGTTGGCAATCTAGTTTTAAAGCGTGAGAATGAGTTCGGGAGGACATTGATGGTGAGGTGAAAGGAAAATGTGGGATTTGGTATTGCTAATAGGTACTATAATTAAATCAAGGCTGTATCTTTTTGCAAAGTACAATCTCAAAAAATTACCATCAGCACCTTTAACAGTCAACAAAGAACACAAGCACCTCACCGAACTGGTATTTACTGCAGCCCTCTCTGGTTTTCTATTGTATTATCTTTCTGTTATTTATAACTCCGTAGACGTGATACTCACACATTACTGTGACCTGATTTTAGTATAGAACGTGGCCAAATGGACAATTCTGCAGCAAGTGTATTCACCTTTCTAAATGGGAGAATAAACCTCTTAGTCACTTATTTTCAGAGCAGGACTGATGCCAAGACCAGCTTACAAAGAAACTACTTAAGACTAGACATAAAATCTGCGGACCTCTGATTAGAGCTTTGTAACATGCCCTAATTGTAGAGGGTCATAACCTGTTTCTGACCTTTCACAGGGTCCGGGATTTAGAAATTAGGAATAAAGCTGATGCTGTTTATTACTCATCTCTTCTTTAATGTCGTAATTTATGTCTTCGTCGCCTAGACATTGACTGTTACCATGAGCAGCTCCAGAGGGATGCACAGTTCCTGTGCTCAGATCCGAGGATGGACACTGAACTTGTTGACAGACTTGTGCTGCAGCTGAACAGGATATACCCCCAGATACTCATTGACAAGGAAGCACATAAGGTCATTACAGATAATATATGGTAATGACAAAAATCTGCTAATTTTGAATTGGTATGTGCAGTGATTCAATTCAGCATGTGTCTCCCTGCAGTTCAGGAACCTGAGTATACCCACCAAGGTGCGGTTAGCTGAGCTGCTGAAGCACCTGCACTGGAAGGGGGAGGAGGCGTGTCATGAATTCTACAGAGGGCTTCACATTCACGCTGAGGACGTCTACTCCAGCCTGCCCACCAGAGTCAGACAAAGAGGTAAAACACTGAGCAAGGCTTCTCAGGCGTTTTAGTGGCTGAAGATTGCAAAGTCTAACTGCAGTCAGGTGAGGACGATCTCTACTCAAAAGCTGTGGCCCTGCAGACTCACATCTGTATGTGTTTTTGAGATGTACTTCAGTACAGAAATAACTTGCAGTAGTTTAGTGGGGAGATAAAATTAAGTGTTCCGCAGAATGGGAGCAGGATTTATATATAGCACACTGACTATAATGACAAAAAGTAGCTCCTGGTAAATAAAGCCAGAGTTCCAAAAGTGTGCGTGCGTGTCTGCGTGCGTGTCTGCGTGCGTGCCTGCGCGTGCGTGTCTGCGTGCGTGTCTGCGTGCGTGCCTGCGTGTGCGTGCCTGCGCGTGCGTGCGTGGAATAGTCCTATTGTTCGAACACATCATCATGGGTTTCAGAAACTGTGTTCATCATTTTCTAAAATACCTGTGCATAATATAATTTAAGTAATTACACTGACACATTACCAGGCAGAAAAGCTTCTCTCTGCTTACACTAGTTGTGTTGTCTGTATTAGTACATCTTTCTGTAAGTGCACCTCTGGCTTATTCTTTCATGTTTCAAGGTTATTTTATCCAGTGTGTTTTGAGTGAGACATAAAAATCTCACTAGCAACATTCCTGGTGTCCAATAATGATGGACCCCCCTGCTGTGTAATTGCCCTGTCTGGCCTTAGTTAGGTTTATCCTATTTAAGATACAGAGAGAAGCCAATGTGCTGCCTGGACTGCAGCTTACGTTGTGGATCCAACACTTTGCAGGCTATTATTTACAGTGTGGTGTTTACCCATAAACCATTTTTACTTTCTGTTATAGAGATGGCAGACCCGAAACAGACTAAAAATGTGGCAGTCCTCCCAGAGCGATTTGTGCTTAACGACAGAGGTAAACCTGATCAAGTAGAGCAGTAGAGCAATACATATTTTTTCTGTTTTTCATTTATATTTTCAAGTTGAATTGCAAATCTAGGTATTTGCTACTTGAGTGTTGGTGTAACAGAAAGGTCCATACTGATGGTTTTGCAAATTATAGTCCAGTTACTAAAGTATACTTTACAATACCAATTATCTGTTTTCCATTTTAATTTTAGAGCAATATTAAAATCTAGGTAATCCATCACATTAGGCAATCAATCATCTTTACTTTATGTTGTCATCATATAGAGATGCAGCTACGAGCAGGAACTAATATGCTTCCTCTCTGGTGGTCTACTAAAAAACAACCTTGTTAATCCAAGAAAGCACAAAATTCACATTAATCATTTCTCAGTAGCCATGATTGATTTCATATAGACCTAACAGATTTATATATTATTTGATTCCAAGACAGCAGAGCTCATAAATGCATTGGGCTTAGCAGCCATCTATCAAACCTGAATGCCCCTGCATTAAACAGCCTTCTTGCAGGTAGTGAACCCATTCTTATACAGGCAGTGTCCTTAGCGACCTGAACTATTCTGTTACTTTATTCGGTTTATTAATTTAGTTGTTTTTGTGTTGTTTTCATGTTCATTTTCAAACACAACAGCACAAATATTGTCAAGTCAAGTCAAAGTTTATTTAAAGTGCAATGTCACACAAGGTGTCTCAACACACTTTATAGAGTGAAGAACTAACAAACAAGACAACTGATTGATTACATATACAGTCAAACAAGATTGACATTGTATACTGGTATGAACTTAAACTTGTGGCTGGGTGAAAAGTTAGTTAAGTCTCAAAACAAATGTTACACTTTGGGAAATGGTGGATAGTAGTGCAACGTTACTAATAATTTATTGTTAATGGACCAAAACAAGCCTTTAATCTGCATGTTTGATTCCTTTTGTAGGCATTTATCACTACCAGGGTGCTAGGGTGTTTTTTTTTAAGTTGTGTGCATACACTTTGTGTGAGTGTGTGTCAGGGTGCCTCCGTACCCCTCACTGATCCACAGATAAGCCCCTTAAGCCCAACTAAGCTTTGTTCTTCAGCAAACGTGGATGTCTGCTGAACCTTTTAACCCCTCGAATCAGAATGTGGGCCCCACTGCTCTGCTCTGCTCCACCATTCATCATCCCATTACATTCAGTGCTCTGGCTTTGTGGGTCAGTTAAGCTCACATGTAAACCCCCACCCCACCCCCCCACCCCACTCCAAAACAGCTTCCTCTGTCCTGCATTCCTTTGAACAGTCAGGGGCACATCCACTGGGTCAAAGGTATGTCAACAGGGAAATGGGTCATCAGCTATGTAGTGAGACAACGACTCCCAGTCATACAAAGAAATTACAGTTTGTTTAGTCTGTGAACAACAAGACAGCTGTGTTTTCATAGAGCAGCTTCAGACTCTTGACCGTTGCCATATACTCATATACATTTCAGTTTGCTTTTGTCATTTAGTTTTTTAACTCAAATCCTTTTAAAAGGAAGAAACCAACCCACTATTCACATTTATCACTGATCCAATATTTCTGTGTATATAGGTTTTATTTATCTAATAGTCAGTGATGGGTGAAATGTATCTCTTCTCTTTCCTTTGGCAGGACCAGTGTTCTTCCTGAGCTGTTTCAGTTTTGTAGTTGGTATTGCAATGCTCTACTATTGCGGAGGTGAGTCATACAGAGTGATGGAGAAGTGCTCGGACTTATGTCTCACTGGCTTTTGAATATCACAAATTACCAGTGTATAAAATCATCTAAAGCCCTTCTTCCTCTTCAATTACATATGTAAACCACTCTTTCCATATTTCTTAAAACTCCTTTGTTGCCTCTCTTTATATCCACAGAAGGTGAGACACTGAGATGCACTGGTCCGTTTCTTCACTGTTCTGCAGCAAGACTCAGTAAAGGTGCTAAAGATGTTTTCATTACCTGTGCTGAGGTTGGAAAGGAGAACAAATGAGACTGTTAATGTGCTGTGAATGCTTAAGAACTAGCCCTGTGAGAAGAACAAGCCATGAAATTTGCCACTTTGCTGTGCCAAACTCATGTATGCTTTCAGAGCTATAAAGTTTTAAACAAGTACTTACTCATATGTTTTTTTTTTTAATATCTGAGAAGCTGAAATTAACACAACTCATTCTCTCACTAATTCACATAGCTGGCATTTCTTAAAATGGAAAAAAGCGTAATGTTCTCCCATAGTATGCATGAGTCTTGCTGGGTTGTATTGTATATTGTGTATAGAGCTAATATTTCTAGTCACTTTTTCAGCTAAAGTAAAGAATAATATTAACTGACTGTGACTGACTAAGTGCAGGGGCTTTTACAAAACTTGAATTTGTCAGTGCTGTGTATGTAAACGCATACTATACTACAGTTTCTTAAATACACAGCACATATTCTCACCAGCTCGCCCACTTTCAGTGCCTTCTAATACTGTGATAAAGAGACTGACTAAAGTGCACTATTACAATGTTCAAATTTTGCTCAAATAAAGCACAAAACATTTTTTGACATCACCTGGATTTGCATCTTATTTGTAATCTAGTATGACAAAGACTTGACAAAGATATTCATTTATTAGCTTCAGATATACTGTATGGCGTTACATTCAGAGAGGAAATTCACAGTAATGACTAGTACAGCAATTAACTTTTCTAGGCTCCTGTCTGGGACTGTCTCCTACTAGACCATGATGCTAGCTTGTATTGTCAGCATGAAATGGAGATGATGATAAAACATTCATATAAGTGATTGAAGTGCATGAATAAATGCACTAGAGGGCACTGCTCCCTCATTCAGTGCAGCAAAGTGGGAAAAAAAGGATGATGGAAAATGTTCTGCTGTGCTATAACAATGACAATGGGGAGCAAGAGACAGCCCTCATTAATTAATAATGACAATCAAATTGATTGAATTAGTAAAGTCAACTTAATTAAATGCTACATTAAATGCTGCTTACTTGACTGTTCAAAGACTTGAAAGCGGGGTGTATGCATTTCATACTCACTTGAAGCACTTCCAAGGTTAAAATAATGAATCAGTGGGAAAACGACATCAGCTAAAATGGTATATAAAGTGCAGCTCTGGAGGAAGGCACAGGTGTCTGATCTCGGGAGATCTGCGGCATTGAGCACCACTTCTCCATCTCTGTCTTCTCTGCAGAGAGAGAGCAACAGAGGAGAGAGGAGGGATGGGGAGGTGCTAAAGGGGGTTGGAAGTGTCACCAGGGTGATTGTTCAGTTCGAATACTGGCATCCACATTCCCACGAGAGGGAGAGAGCTATTAATAGTGCTGCTTCACGGGGACCTAAAACTCCTCGTTGCATCCGCAGATGTTTCGACCTCCCACTGAGGCAGTTTGCTAAACTTTCAGGACTGGGATGGCGCCAGAAGCATAGGAGCCAAATATATACATTATGTATATATATCAGACTACAGATCTGCCCTGAGTGGAGCTGTGTGTGTCATCAATCTGGCTCTCCGCTCGTCTGGCTGTTTCCACGGTTACCAATGATAGTTGTGGAGGAGGAGAAGGAAAAGATTGTGACGTTGGTTTGTCATCTGAAAGATGCTTTGTCACAATCACGTTGAAGAGATTATAGATAGGAACATGAATATTCTTCAGGTATTGAACAGATAATTATGTGAAACAGACTGCTTTTGTATTATTGTGTTAAGCCGCTGAAGTGTATAAAATGAGCATTTGCTTGGCTCTAATTGGGGTTTCAGTGACATAGCTGTAACACAGTCTAATTAAGGCTTCCATTTTAACAAGCAGTTCTGCTGGGGTCCGTGCTGTGTTGACTCTGACTCACCAGCTGCTGTTGGTCCAGAGAACCACAGACACACTACAGCTTTGCGCATAGCACGGGGAGTCATGGCTCAACCAAACATTGTTATAATTGAATGTTAGGCATGACGCCTGTGGTTGAGGACAGATGTGTCGGTACGGTTAAAGCTGTGGAGCTGTGGGTCAGAGTTTTGAGTCAGATGAGGCACACCCTGCTCTGCATACATGTGCTCAGCAGACCCGTCAAACCTCCAGGCCCGAGTCGTCTGGAAAAGCACCATGACATCTTGTTCGAACGTCATCAGCGCGATTAAAAATTGAACCCTGTTCAGCTGTCAGCATTTGTGTGTGTGTGTGTGTGTGTGTGTAGATTGGTGTGTGTGTGTGTGTGTGTGTGTGGTGTGTGGTGGTGTGTGTGTGTGTGTGTGTGTGTGGTGGGTGTGTGTGTTGTACGTTGTTAGATGATGTGACTGTGGTTGTTGCATTTGTGTCTGGCCAGTGCGTGGGGTCACTCTCGGGCAGTGAAGGAGACAGACAGCATGAGGTCACATGTGCCTCACTGCTGTTGTCTCCATTTTCCTGTTTGTCCACTAGGAACAAATGTTGTGTTGTTTACATACCAGACTCCTTTGTCAATTTGCCTGTTTCTCTCTTGTTCACTGTCTTTTTCTCTGCGCCTGCAGCAGTGTAGCACAATGATTTTTTAGTTAAAGAAAAGTTGTTGGATTTTGTTTGAGTTGTTTTCCGGTGGAAATTTCTCTGTGAGCCTGGAGAGGTCAGTGTGTTTGTAGGTCAGGTAGGTGATTGTGAAGGTCACGTCAGGAGAGGACCAAAAACTTGCTGACTCCATGGATGTCTATAGGAACAAACTGCACAGTAAGGCAAGAGAGAAAATACCTATTTGAATAGAGAGAGTGGAGCAGAGAAAGAGCGTGAAAAGAAAGAATTTATGTGACTTGCAAAAATAGAAAGAATACCTGTGTGTGTTCTTGGTCAGTTGCTGCGGTTTGGCCGGCGGACCCCGAAGGCTGTGATGAAGACGTTGACTACCACGATGATAAAAACCAGGACTGTGGCCAAGTTTTCCATAGTGTTCAGCCTCCATTGCTTTTGCTCATCATTCAGGTTCCATCGAACTGTGGACAAAGCCAGGAAACCAACTTCAACAACACACAAACACACACTCAATGAATGTCTATTAAAACATCAGCAATCCACTTTATTCTGGGACTCAAGCCAACTCATTATGACAAACAGATTTACTGTCAGTCATAAATCCACATTTACTTAATTCTGGTTTCAGAGAGCTCTTGTGTTCATGAGTGATCCCACAAAAATGCAGTGTATCAGATATTTCATTTTGACAAGGGCACATGAGGATAATGCAGTAATGTGATTCAGTTTTTCACTGATCAGCTAGTTGTTGGAACCACAGATGAGTGGGGAAAAAAACTCTTTCACTCTATGTCAATCCAACATAAAACCGCTTGGGGTATCATTTTCTAATAAGACACCATTTATAAAGGGTTTGTTCTAATTAATCATTCATTATTGCTTTATAGATCAGCTTAAATCCATTGATAAAAACAACTTTGGTGTTGGCTGTATAACTAATGAAATAAAGTATAGTTGGCTTCCAACCAGTGGTGCCATTAACACATACTGTGTCTTTACTTTCTGTGTTAAAAATCCAAATACTTATGATTTAAGGCATCAGTCTATATTATTGTGGATTCAATAATGTTGCACGAGGAAAGACAAATGGCATCTGACTCAAAGCACACAGGAAGAACAATACATGAAAGAGAGAAAATGATCAAGGGAAGCTTTTATTTCCTGTATAACAATGCTTCATTTCATCTGTGCTTTTTTCACCCCTCGATCTAAACAAAATGACACAGAAACAACTGATCCACGTTGCAATAATTGATTTTTACATACTAAACAAAGTTGTCATTCGTCATCACAGGGACTGCCCTATGAATAATGTTAAAATTGAGGTGTGATCAGGGAAGTGTGTGTGTAGGGGGGAGTGTACAGTAGCTGTGAATCACAAGCACATGTTCTGTGTACGTGTGTGTATGTGTGTATTTGTGGGAGATTACCAAAGGTTAAATGGTGTAAAGACCCCGCCTGGCTGTGTGTGTGTGTGTGATCTGCCTTGGGTGGGGTGGGTTGGGGTTGGGGTAGGGGTAGGAGGTGGGGGTGGGTGGTATGTAGGCCACTCACATCACGCACTACTGGCTCCATTAAACAGAGCTGGAACCAAGGGAGAGGGAGAATGAGGGAGGGGAGGCAGAGAGGGTAGCAGGGTTCAGAACAGTCAAAGAAAATGAAAGAAGAGGAATGAAAAGAGCAATGAGAATGAGATGTGTTTGATATTCTGGTGGAGACAAAGAGGAAAGGGAGGGGGGGTTGTAGGGGGGCCAGTGAAGTCAGAGGATTTGGTGGATGGAGGGCGGGTCGAAGGGGGCATTTGTTCATGAATGTGTGATGCCTCTCACATGCTTACCAGCCTTCTTTCTGACACGTGATCCTAAAATGCATAGAAAAACTTGTCTGATAGTTAATTATGATTGATTATAATTAATAATGATTTTTTAAAACACAGAACAATTTTGTTGACTGTTAAATACTTAATATCCCTATTGTGGAAATATATAATAAGAGAGTTTTAAGTAAGAGTGAAACTAAACCAACCATTAATTGGGGTGTGTCCTAAAATATCTGATTCATAACTGAGTATTTTTAGGTCATTATTGAAAGAGGAGAGGAAGAGTATATATGGGGTGATAACATTTCCGGCATGGAAAGGACATGACAAATATTCTTTTATTTTTCTCCTCCTGCTGCAGCTGAGATGAGTCAGTGTGACCTGGCGAAAGTTCACTGTCCTGCTGTTCAGTCTGTCAGAGCAAAATGAACTGCAGCCTCGACTGCACCGGTGCACCTCATCCAAACTCATCTTCCCCTCTTCACAGACCTGTTTTCCTAAACCCCAGTTGTGGCTGTTGAATACAGACTTCCTCAAGTTGGATCTCTGGATGTGTGGATATCCGGCGCTTTTACAATTAGTTTGCCCTTTCTTTGGCCATTTCTATTTACTCCAAGACATGTGCAACACACCACATGTATTGACACATTTACGCACATACACAACAGAGAGATAAAAAACAACCTCTCTCCCATTCCCTTGACTCCCACAAGTGCTGACAGCAGCACTAAAACCAAGTGAACTCTGACCTGGTGTCAGGTCTGGTTGCCATGGTTACAGATAGAGTCCAGCTGGTAATGGGTTGTTTGTCAGGAGTCAGTGGACTTGACATTGATGAGGGGGGATGCATGGTAGGGCAAAAGGTGGCATATGGGAGGCTTCAATCTTGCTAAAGGACAGGGTGGAGGGGATGAAGCACGAAGGGCAGGTGAAGGTTGAGAGATGTGAGGCTTGCCAGACAACAAAGAAGACACTGCTACAACAAAAGGGCTCAGGCTCTGTTAAATTTCTCACCTATGAAGATAAGCAGCACCCCGACTGTGAGCTGCAGACCGAGGGAGATGCTGATTAGGGTGACGACGGGGGTGTAAAAGGAAAAGTTTGGTCCCTGCTCCAGCACCGCCTTTAGCTGGGAGGCGTTAGCCATCAGTAGAGCCACATCCAGCATGCTCTCAGCTGCACTCTTCTTATTGGCGTACTGGTTCATGTTCAGCTGGCTGCTGGGCCAAACATCTGGATGTGAAGCCTGGGGATAGAAGAAAGTAACCGACACAGAGATAATGTTTATGGCTCTGAGATAATGCCTGGAAGGAGAATGCCTCGAAATAAACAGAAAAGGCACGCTCTGTGCTGCGCTGTGTTCTCCCAATAGATCAACAAGGCAGCATGTTGATGAGACTAGCAGTAATTTTTTGCGCTTACTGCACATTGATGGTGAGAATCTGGTTATCGTTCTGACCTAATTAGCACAACAAGCGGCTCTTACAGAGGAGTGACCTTTGAAAACAGAGCTATTACTACAGCAAAGAGTAACTGTCACACTGGTAACATGTGCAGTGTTCAAGGCTTACCACTTAGTTCTGGTTTCAAACAATCACATTCAGTCTGGACTTTATCTTGTTCCTTGCTAACGTCAAAAGTCAGCAAGCTCTGACCATATTATACTGCATGTGTTGCTGTGAGCTGCACTTTCAGTCCCCTATTCTACTATTTGTTGACTTTTCAAATCAAAGCGGTGTGTGTGACTACTCACGGTCTTGTGTTTGCAAAGATACGGGTAGTGAGGGACACTGTTGCTGCTCATATCCCTGCCTCTCGGGGCAGGATTACAGAGCCACCTGGATAACTGCACTGAGTGAAAGCTACCTCATTAATCCCCCTTTTTCTCAGTACCAACATTTTACTTATATATATCGAGTAGCTAATGACATGCACTCAAACACACACACACACACACACACACAGTAAATTATTTATTATATCACATGCACTATATACTGTATAATAGACTGTATCCTTTCTGTGAGAGATCAATGGGTGATAAATAAAAACATTTAATAAAAAATAAGTGTTCATTTTAAGGTGATTTTTAAAACCTATTGATTCTTGTGTGGGTGATGATTATGTAACAAAAGATTAGGTAGGATTTGTGCATGTGTGTCCACTCCATCCCAGTGGACTCTGTACCGTATAGAGAAAAACAGCAGGTGCTGGATAAACAGTCTGCTTGGAGATAAATAAGAAATAGCTCTCTTTTAAATGATGAGAACACATTTTCTCTTGGAGTACTGTTGCTGATTGAAAATCCACTTGGACCTACTGTCCAGCGAACCGATGCCTGGCTTGTGCACCATCACTGAAGAGTCGATCATGTCAAGGCCAAAACCTTTTTCGCCTTCTGTGAACATGAAATAATCAGCAGTGCGCTCGCAGTATTTTCCTCAACACCGAAGCCTTCCCTTTTTCTCACAACACACCCCTGCAGCTGCCGAAAGCATAGTTTGTCAGAGATTAACCAAACCACAGAGCCGGTACAAACTGTCTTCCCTCTGCTCCAGGGATAGAGACAAAAAGAGACTGGAAGAGCTGCACCCTCTAATTTGCTACAGGGTAGGCTTCAGCTGAATTACAATGTCTTTAGGAGATTCACAACAATCAACTGGCATGGTTAAGTTGATGTATGAGGGGGAAGTACAAGCTGAACCATAGGTGTGGTTTATGGGGATTGAAGAAGAAGAACATGTACTCTTGTGGCAGTAGTTATTTTGATGAGGTTGTTTTTTTTCACTCCTGTGATAACCACTGGACAAACCATGTTTAATTCTCTTAATAAGCCATCGCTTTTTAGGACATGGATTACATGTGTCTCCGGCCAAGTTCTTCATCCGGTGGTGTACCCATCGCTGTAGGTTTTATGATTTGGCATAACTTCACGTGAACACTGCAGAGACATTCTCGCAACATCCAGCAAACCTTCAAAAAAAAAAGAAAAGATGTCTCTGTGGGCTTTCTCCAAATCCTTTTCACTCAGCGCCATAATGCCCCGCGGTACGACTCATATTAAACAGCTCTTCAAAACATGTTTCCCTACATTCCACGGGAAAAGCAATGTGGTGTGGTGTAGTGCCCTTGTGACTGTGATTTGTGCCAAACGCCACAAATGGCACTGTCATGACGTGTCAGGGTCAGCCATTCTGCTCTCAAACACTAACACAGGCTTTTCAAAGACAGCCCTTTATCCCCGAGTCAACAGGCCGCAGTGAGATAATGCTTGTTGTGAGATCATAGGGTGGAAACGTGCAGTCAATATGTCTAGAAACACAGCAGATGAATTTTCTCCAAAATTCACCAACAAACATAATGAACTTTTACTCGTGTATACGATACTTGTATTGTGTACACACTAGGCCAAGATACAGAGGCCACCAACTCAGTCAGTCCAAGCTTTTTGTCATGATTAATCCTGCTGTCTACTCATATCATATGGCTGAGAACATAGGGCAATGACTAATCACAGCAGAGGAGACATGTAGAACAAAAAGATAGTGAATATAGGCCATGGTATGTCACACTGTACTGTCACATGGGGTTTAAAAAAAAAGAGGAAACATGCTTCTCGACACGTGCAGGCTAATCAAGCTTTCATTTGGATAATAGGTCAAAGTGAAAAACATGGAAGATACAGTAACTCAACATTTGCATATTTGCACTGACTTTGGTTTCCCCATTAGAAAAACAGAGTGCTTGTCAGTCACCCGGCCATTACAGATCTATTGTTATTCAGCACAATCTAAAACCAAAGGTTCTCATTAAGGCAATCATTCCGTACTGGTCCCAGGTTTCAGTGCTTATTTTTGTGATGAATTATTCACACTGCATTCCTTGTCTGAAACAGACTCAGGGGACACACTGAGCAGAGAAAGGGAGGAGGATTTGAGGGGGGAGGAAGACAAGGAGAGATAGAAAAGTTGTTTGAATCTGTAATAACTCTCTTTAATGCATCACAGTGGGATAACAGATAGATTCATGTAATTATATTTCACATAGCCCTCTTCCTGCAGAATCACATCAGGTGCCACTCATGTTACAGTATGTGGAGAAGGGAATTTGATGCAAATTAAATCAGATAATCAAATCATTTATTTATAGAGGATCTCTTAAACTGATTAATGTTGACCAAAGTGTTGTACTGACAAATTAATTTAATTTAATTATTAAATGCATAAATAAACAAAATAATTAAATAAATAATTCTTAGGAAATATTCACATATGATATTTTCATGTTTTAGTCCTACCATTGAATACTATATTTTTAATTTTAAAAATAATTCAAATGAAAAAGCACACTACACAGTACACAGATACAATGTGGAGAATCATAGTTACAATAACTTTGATGTAGACTGTGATAAGCCTTTTCTAAAAAGCATTTAAAAAGTAAATTGAAGAGAAAATCTGATCTGTCTGGGTATCACACGTGGAAAATGCAGAAAATCACAGAGACACAGACAGAGATTTAAACTGGTGCCAATTCATGCAATGCTTTAAAAACAACAGCCACCCACCTCCCCTTCACTCACGAGTGAATTAAATTGTGCCCCATCATAAATAGCTACCTATATGTCCGTCCCATAGCAGGCCGCATTGCACCTGGAAAGGCTGAAACTTCTAAATTCCACAGATTGAATCCAAACTTTAAACCTAACTGAACCACAAAAAACTGACTTTCATTGTGTATTCAAAGACCAACTAAAGTTTTGGCTGAGATTCAAGCAAAAGAAATGAACTCACCTAATCCTAAACTTTTCCCACATCGTCACACTGACTGATTACAGTTAAGCAAAATACCTGCATGTCAGGTACTGAGAGATGACTATTGTTTTGTACCACTAAGCTCTGCCTCTGCCATGTGGAAATCTCCTTGCAGCAGCAGTGCATGACACCACTTATGACATGGTGAGACCCTGCGTTTAGCATTTAGTTAATTGAACTTGCTGCTGTTCAGCAACATGATGAAAAAGCAAATGAATTTGCATCGGTAACTGCAAGGGTGTGTGTTTCCCTTCCTTGTGTGTGTTTTTTTTTATACATCAGCACTTCCTTGCTTTCCATCCATCATGTCCTATCAGCAGCCTCCCTTTCTCACTCACCTCAAACTCTGGCCCTCCTCCAGATGAGGATCGACCCAAGTGTAAATCTAATTTCCATGATTCTCTGTAGGGCCTATAGTTTTACAGCCTCACGCAGTGCAAAGCAAACATGGCTGTTTCAGATCATACTCTATCCTGTTATGACAGAAGTATGCAGCGTAAAACCTACTGATCTCAATAAAAAGACAAAGGGACAAGTTCAAGAATGCGCTATAGTGCTGTGCAGAAATCTGACGCAGAATCTGATTAGTCTTGGATTTCAGTGTAACACAGAAACAGACATTAAAAGCCTGTGGAAAGTCTACATAGAAGATTTTCACTCCACAAAACAACCATGGATTGATTCCGTTCTCACTGACTCCCACTGGTGGGAGACACATTGTAAATGAGACCAATTGCTCATTTTATCGAGCGTAAGGGTATTACATTCTGCATCTGTTGGCTGAGCTCCGACAGTCACAAAGAAGTATCTGGCTGCAAGGGTCACTCTCTCTCTTCCTCCCCCCTTCTTCCTCAAACACACACACACTCATCTATCTGACATTAAATGGTGCTATTAAGACAGCGACTATGGCGATGACACAGTGAAGGCCATTTCCTTGCCCTGTAAAACTGGACACAGCTCTGGACTACTGTATATTGCAATTACTTGTCAAATGGCAACTTCAATCGCCACATAAAACACAATAAACACTCCTTGTCCTGCAACAATCTAGTTGTGGCATGCAGTGGGATGACATTATGTAAAAGTAAAGCTGTGTGTATGTGCATGTGTTTGTGTGTGGATTTTGGCCAGGGAAGTGGAAACAAAGGAGGGCATTCATTATTTATAAGGTCACTCAGGTGCCAACAATGCTTCACTCCTCAACTGAGCCAGACCGTCATCTGACCCAGCATGCCTGCAACAGACATGAAGATCCCCATTTAAATGTTTTCCCTTTGTTGATTTGTTTCTATGTGGACATGCAATACATTGCATTCAGCATAATTTCTCTTCTGCACAGTTCATATATATAGTTTTTTTTCACCTCATATGGATACTTTAACATGATCACCTTCCATTAAAATGCAGCAATGCAACACCCCGTCGCCAAATCCAAACAGCTTTGGAATTTATTGTATGACTGCTGCATTAAATCCAAATTCATTTACCTAATGTTCTTTGTGCCCATCTCCATGCAATCGTTTGGCACTTGGATTTTCTCTGTGATCGTATATCTATGACCCCAATGCTTTACTTACATTCTCCACTCCACTCTACAACTGTTTGCAAGAAAGTAAGAATGATAAACTCTTGAGAAAAATTGCATCCCGGCTACACTGCTGATGTGTTTTTCATTTTTTGCAATTTTAAGTTGTCAACAATTTACTTTACCAAATTCTACTTCAAACACCAGGCTCACGCACCAGTATGGTACAATGCAGTATTCCCATGTTTTCGTTATGTTAAAAATGCTCTCAAAAATCTCACCTCAGTTCCACTTCTCCTGTTGCTGCTGCTGATGTTCATCATTTTCCTATGCGTATGCTACTGCACCTCATCGGCAGACTGCAGCTCTGACAAATTGAGCTGCAAAGTGGATCCTGATATAGGGGAAGACAAAACAGCACCTGCAGGCATATAAGCCTCCTGAACATAATATCAGATGCATATGCAGTTATTTTATTATGGTGCCACAACAACAACAACAAAAGTGATAATATCTTTATATCTTTTCTTTTTTTAGATAATTGTCTTGTGCGTGTTGCTGTTAAGCTCTGAGTGAGACAAATGGTTGATCTAAAGGGCGTGAAAGATTTAGTTTTTTAACAGATGATTTGTCATTTATTGCGTTAACTCCAAAAATTTGCTGGTCTTTTCATGTGAAATGTGTGTCACTCTTGCTGTTGAGTAGTCCAGCAGTATAGGCTCTCTGTGGTGTCCCACCGTGCTGTGTGATTGGCCGATTACCTCCAGTCGTTACCAGGGGCGTGGAACCAAGCGAGCTGAATGGGAAACACATTTGTGCGCCTCACCGGTGTATTAAACCTAAAAGGGAGAGACGATGACAAGCGAAAACAGTTTTACACGTAAATTAATTTCCTAAGAGGCGGACAGGCAAACTAAAATTCCCGGTGTCTTAAAGCGGCCTGACTGCTCTTTAACTACAGGCTCCGCATACAGCAGCCGCGAAGAAACAGTGGAGAGACTCGGCATCGTCAGCTGCTGTATCTGCAACCGAAGAGAGGGATGCGAGGACTTGAAAAGAGATAAATAAAACGTATTCGTGATTTTTCCCCTCGTCATTATGGGGTCTATGTTCAGTTAGCAAACGGCGAGTTGAACCTGAATTTGTTTGCGGCCGTTGGGCGAAGCTGTAGTCCGTGAAAATGAGGATAATATGCAGATAGGGCGTTTTTAAAGTCCACCTTTTGTCGTGGACGGTCGGCTAACGTTAGCGAGGTTTCACTGGACTTGGCAGGTTTGCGTGTTCCGTGTATCGCTAGCGTTAGTTTAGCCGAGGTTATTTGACCGGTTTTCTTCGCTTTTTTGAACTAGGTAAGTCCTATCTGTGTTTAATGTAACTGTTGTGCGAGTGCTTGGAGACTCATTAATATATTCTGGTTGCTGGAGGCTAATTTAACCCTAGTAAACTTAGTTCTGAAACGTCAAACTTAACGTTAACTTGTGTCGTCAGAACCAGCTTGCTAGTCTTTCTATCACCTGAACGACGATGGCTTTAGCTAACAATGTATTTTTAACTCGCGGGCATGTCTTTTCATCCACCTGCTTTTACTGACACCAACTACCTTAAACAACGTACTAACGGACGCCCATAACCCCAATTTTTAGATTCAGCACTGGCTTGCATATCGGTAATTGTTGGGTTTAGTTTCACTAACTGGCAACATTTCTTTTGCTCTCATAGCTCTTCTTATCGGATGAAATCTCGTCTATGCCATCCATCCCGGTGTTGTTAGGGGCCTCTGCTGGCAAACTGCGTCACCGAGTGGGCGCTGCAGGTATCCATCTCTAAATCTGCATGTTGGGAAGTCTAGCCATGGCACGAATGACCTGGAAACCAAAGTGACTGAACTTTTAAATCACCATGGAGCCGGAGTCTAATTCACACTCCGGGGCCCACCAAGACCTGAAATATCCATCTGTACCCAACTCTCAGTGTGAACTGGCCATGGGTGATGGAAATATCAGTCTTGTGGACTCACTAGTGAGGGGTGGGAGTGACCCCAGTGCATACCCCTCATCCAGCTATCAGAGGAATGTGCATCAGAGATTCATCAGGAGAAGTCTGTGGTTCTCGGACACAGATGAGCAGGCCTTTGAAGCACCTGAATGTGATAACAGGAGTAAGATCCTAAACATAAACCTGCGAACAATAGTGGATAGGACTCTGGGGACTAGTTGTGGGGTACAAGGGGGTTCCAGCACTGAAAGTCAAGGTGGGCAAAAAGACAGTGCAACAGAGAGCGCCAGTGCTGATGAAGAGAAGGAAAAAGGTGGAGATGCATTAAATGTTACATGCAGCGATGGTGCTAAAACCGCTATCAAGGCAGCCAGTGAGGAGAATGAGGAGGAAGCAGAGATGAAAGCGGTCTCCACATCTCCAGGAGGACGGTTCCTCAAATTTGACATTGAGCTGGGGAGAGGGTCCTTCAAGACGGTTTACAAGGGCCTGGACACTGAGACCTGGGTGGAGGTTGCCTGGTGTGAGCTGCAGGTAAAGTACTAAAGTTGTCCAACTGATTTACAGTCTGTCTCTCTGCGACACCCAAGTATAGTGCCAGTTAAAAGAGTAGACAAAATTCAGCAGTCACATATAGGTTTAAAAGAGGCCCTTTTTTCCTAATTCTTATATGTGCTGATGGGCATGGGAGACACTTAAAACAACAATGTAATTTTGTTTTAGAAATTTTTTGAAATATTTAAAATAACCATTTTCACAATTTTTTCTCTACAAAAAATACGTGCAAGTTGTTTTTCTGTCAATCAGTGATTTATATGAGTGGTGGAATGCCTGACTCTCACAGGAAGCCCAGTCTCTGTGCTAGTGAAGGTTCACGCATCATGATAGTGTAATGGTGATGTCTTCAGGGAGCTGTCAATCAACCAGAGTCTCACGAGGGAATCCGCTAAGTTGCTAATGGGTTATCACTAAATTTTAAATGGTTTACACAGGAAAACTGATTGACAAGCATTCGCTGCTGACGTGGAGATCCATGCCACCACTGAAGTATAGTGATCAGCAGTTTTGCAAATGCACTAGGAGAGTCTATCTAGTCTTGCATTACACACACAAGAAAATCACCAGCTTAGACTGTGCGAAGGTATTAACTAATTATTTCCGTCCTTTGGAGACTGCAGCAGGGATTATCTCTCTCTCCCTCTCCCTCTCTTGGTCTTAAGGGGGACTACTGTAAGAATGACTGGCCCCCTCAAAGAAAGAAAACCTGTACTGTGATTTTGTTTTTCTTTCACCAGTCAGATTAATATAGTTAAGGATTCATTTTACATTCAACCATCCTTCATTTTTTCTTTAGTCATTTGCCTGGCTGACAATGTAATGACACAGAACACAGTTATTGGAGTGGACAGTGCAGGGGATGCTTGTGTGCGCTCTGTCCCAGCAGTGTGTCTGTATGTTATGAGCTGTGCTACTCCTTGCCTCCCTCCCTCTGTGCAACAGGAGGTAGGCAGACAGGAAGCAGCTGAAGTGTGTTGGAGCCTGCTGGGAAGTTTGTGGTGGTCCTGTGGCCTCAGTGAATACCTAGCTTAGGATCCTGAAAATGTGCTGCGTCAGTAACCTGAGAGACTAAAGAATGCAGACTGCTTGATGCATTGAAAAGACCTAAGCCTGTTTTGTATGACTGTAGCATCACAGGACAGTGATGCATCTCATCACCGGAAAGGACTTTAAAGATAACATGCCATTGGCTAGGAATGAGTAAAGATACAGTAGTGCTGAGAGACACACAATGATTTCATTTGGAGGATGAGGTCATTCAGACTGGTAGTAACAGTGAGCAATCCCACATCTCCCTCAACTTGACAGCACCAATCTGCAGTTGGACTCAGATGATGGGATGTGGAACGGGAAACAATTTACTGCATTTTATTCTTCCCAAGTGACACATATTAAAACTCCCTCTAGTGGACAATCAATAATGGATTTTAATCACAATACAAATGATCTTTCCTCACGATCATGTTGTCATCTATTCGCTCTCTCAGATATAGATTTGTAGCTTCAATAAAAAGTGTAAATGTTAAAAAAGAAAATACTATGCTGACCTGATCAGTGTGTTTCTAAAGAGCAACATCAGCTTTTTGAATGATCAGAACCATTGATTGAGACTTTGTGTGATTGAGTCAATAAGGTGGGGCTTTCTTAAGCTGACCAGAACTGTTTGTGATCTTGTTTTTGATTAATTCCGCTTCTATAAAATTAAACTATTTAAGCAGTTAAGGATGAGGAGTGTTCCTTCAAACTCATTAGGGTTGTGCTGAGTTAGACCCATGAAGTTTTGCAGAAGTATGTAAATGGTAAACTTAATATAAAATAGTCATTTATTCAGCTTCAACTAACAATTATTTTCAGTATTGATTAATCTGTTGAATATTTTCTTGATACATTGTTTGGTCTGTAAAATGTCTTAAAGAAGTTCCCAACATCTAAGGTGATATCTACAGATTACAGCTGCAATGATCATGAGCATTGAAATTGGCATTTTTCAGTCTTCTATGGTATTTTATAGACCAACCAATTAATTTAGAAACTGATCATCAGATAATGAAAATAATTATGAGATCCCATTTCATGCATTTTTTCTCTCTCACCAACAGTCCCAAAACCCAAAGGTATTCAATTTAAAATGGTAAAAAACAAGAAAATCTGCATTTATTCACACTTGAGTTGCTAAAATCAGAATCATTTTGGTGTTTTTGCAAAAAAATTATTTGATTATCAAAAATTAGTTGGCAACAATATAGATGATAAATCAACTAATTGTTCCAGCTCTAGTTATTCCAAATATTTTAGTTCATGTTTTATTTTGCTCTAGTACACAAAGCCCCAATAAATGTAATTTAAGTCAATTGCTTTGGAGGTTCATTCATTGTGTGATGAACAACTGAACACATTCTAAACCTGAGACTGAGACTGGTGATCTGAGCCAACTGCTCACAATCACTAGATCTTCTCAGTGATCAACAGCATAGTAGAAGTGCAGGTATGAACTAGTCTTATGCTTGCAGCCAAAATAGGAAAGGTTTAATGCCTGTGTTGTGCATGTTTACTTTTCACTGTTGCATGTAGGTGATGCCACCTTTGCGTTGCTCAGTTAACTGTGGTAGAAAACAGGAGAAGATAGATGAGCTTTCTCTGTTAGATGGAGCAAAAAAGATATGACTGTGATTTTCCACTGTTTTCCCTGCTTCTAGTGGTCACATGCCTTTCTTGCCTAGAAATTTTAATCTGGTCCTGTGTTTATTCTTGCTTTCCCCCCACCCTCTCTGTCTCACCCCCTGCCCCTTTCCTCCCATGCCCATCTCCCCCACATCTCTGTTCTGTGCCAGGCTGCTGGCATAACACAGATGGTCCTGGCTCAGGGAAGGATGTTAATCTGAGAGAAAGATGCCTGTTGTGAATTTTTTATTGTTGGAGAAACACTTCTTGTGCCTCTGTTTGCCTTGTCTCATTCTGTCATTGCTCACTGGAATTTATTTTTTAAACTTTGGAAACTTCCCGTTTCTGCCAATTGTGGCTTTGTGTATAGATTTTAATCTCAGTGCTGAATGCTATGTGCACACTTGCAGATACAGAGTTTACTTCTGATTTTGTGCAGACTTCTCTGTGGTATTTGGCAGCGAGCTTGTTGTTCTGTAGATTAAATCTGGTTCTCAGCTTGTGAATGCAGAGCTGGCCATGATACCATGGCATGGATATGAATCTGCCTGTCTCTAGATATTTGCAGGAGATTTGGGCATTCTTGATCCAAACTAACCTTACGAATGAAACCATGAGTCACTAGGTCAATATCTTTGTCACTGTAATAGTAGATTAGATTGGGCCATGTTATAGGATGGTAATGTACTTTTGAGAATAGTTTGTGGTTGTCTCTTTGGATTAACATATATAGGGCTACCACCACCCCCTCCTTGACTGCTCAGATGGAAAAATGAAAACAAAGTTTAAGAAGCCCAAGTGGGTCATTGGTTACAGCCCATTTGGCTTCAGGAGGCCCAGGGAAGCAATGGCAGCCAGACCCAGTGGCTGTAGCTAACAGTGCCTTATCAGTGGACCCCATCTTCTGGCGTGCCTGAGCTCCCGTGTCACTCAGCCAACTGAAGACCCTGGGGGCTGAAGGACAAGCCTGTTAGCGCCACAGTGGTGTGGTCTGTGGAATAGTTTCAACAGGCTTGTTGGTAAGAGGCTAGTTAAGGAAATTTTGATCTAATACATGAAAATCTTTGCACAGTCAGGAAAATTAAAGATTTTAAAAAGCTTACTTGTGTCATGTTAACATTTTTCTGACAGATCAGAGATGAGACTAGTTTGAATGACAAGCTAAACGACACAAACACAATCTCAGAATTCCAAAGAAGGGTGTATAGCATAGTACCCTTCCTGCATATAGGAAGAAAAAGCAGCAAATCAAAACAGCATAGCTTGGAGTTGTAAAACCTGAGTATGGCTTATCTGTTGAAATATTAATTGTGGACTAAAGTCCATTACAACACCATCACTAACTACAATCATAGTAGTAAATATATAGTTTAGTTAACATCTTTCAAAGTTTTAACAATAAAACCTGGCCATTTATATGCCTTTTAAACTTAGAATATGTGGCAGAGCTGTTGGATGGCATAGGTGGGCCTAATATAGTGGTCAGGGCGTGTATATCTTCATGTTTAGCAAAGGCCATTTGTACACATTGTAGTTGAAGTGGTTCGAGAATTAGAGTGTTGTCAAGTGGGGGAAAGCTCTCTTCCTCATTTAATACATTTGAAGAGCCTACAATCAAGGTTTTGCTTATTATAGCAGAAGTATAAAATTGTCTATAAGAACATTTCCAGTATTCAGAATGTTTGTATAAATTTTATATTTGGCAGAAAGAGCTTGAATATACAGTAGTGGACTAAGAAAGACCTCATAATACAATGCAGCATTCCAGTATCTTTTTGTTGAAGCTCATAATGCTTTTCGTGTGTTGTTTTGTCACTTTTAAGGCCACAGTTTATACTATTGAGATGCAAATTCCAGTTTTGTAGTATAATCAGTTGTGGTGAGGATCTGTGTGTGGACTTATTCTTCCTCTTTTCCAATGCATGTTTGACTGCATTTTGTGTTTTTATAGTTGACTCTTTTCTCCTTGTGACATTTTATGTTGGTATGACTGCAACTAACTATTGTTTTCCTAATTAATTGTTTGGTTTATAAAATTTCAGAAGATAGTAAAAATTAATGACCATAGCATTTCTTTTAGTCCTTGTGTTTAATCTAAAACAGTCTACGCTTTTCGAAATCCAATGATATTCAGTTGACTTAAACAATAAATTGCTTATCTAAATAGTTGCCAATGAAATTTTCTGTCCAGTGACCATTCAACTAATCATTGCAGCTCTACATTACAGTGTTTGTCACTACTGCCACACCAATGCCAGAAGTGGCTGTCTGCCCTCTATCCATGTGTGCTGCTTTGTTTTGACTTAAACCTTGGT